CTAAAGACAGTACTTCTTAATGTCTATGGAGCCCTTTGGTTCTACTGAGAAAATTAATCAGTTGGGGTATGTAAAATGGGCTCACAGCAAAGTGCAGAAGGAGAGGCAGGGAACAGTTGAATTGTCCTGCATAACTAATAAGAAAAATGGGAATTTGTGAGGTGAACCCAGAAAGGATGGGATAAGGAAAAGAGACGAAGAGATATGACAGCAAAGTGAAAGGCGCTGGGACTCCACAGAGGGTTCAGTGGCCGGTGGAAAATCCCACGATGGGAGGTCAGGACCTGGATGTCCATTTCCAATTTGGGGTTCTGTACTGGCAAAACAAAAGCCCCGCCATCTCCTCTCAAAACTACTATAAAATCTTCTCTACAAACTTCCATGAGTGAGTGGGGGTTCTGTCTGTCTGTCTGGGTGGAAAGAGGCTCAATTTCAGGCATGGTCTGGAACAACAGAAAGAATAGAGGCACAAGAGCAAACAGTAGGAGGTAGCAGCCAGTGGGGATCACAAGAAAATAAAACTCAAAGAATTTGGGAAAATTGCTGGATGTTCACAGCATGTCAAATTGGTAGTTGAAGCTCATCTTTTCTAAATGTCAATGGAAAAGAAGACTCCATGTACACACACATGCACGCACACATGCACACACACACACACACACCCCCCACTGTAGGAGACCATTTGTCCAGATGTGGGCTCAGATACAGAAGAACCCTGGCTAATGATAAGCTGGTACCTGCTAGAGTCTGAGGACCCCTCCCTGAAGAAGCTGAGCAGATAGTCTTGGCCACTGGGCCAGCAGCCAAAGGTCACCATTAGGAGAGGAGGCAGCAGCTGGCTGCAGAGCAGTGTGGATGTGTATCCCAAGGCTCTCTGTGGTGAGGGAGGCTGATCACGAGGGTTTGACCTGATGAGGGATGGATTTCTCTTGATGGTCATTGCTCTTACAGAAAGTATTTGGAAACGTCTGAAAATTGTGCCACCTCAAAGGTGAAAATTGACGTGTCCTCTAAATACAGTCCCTGTTAAAAGTATTAACAAGTGTGTGGATGTACATTAGTAAAATCTGAACCAAGAAGGGTTAGAAGGTGGGAAAGAGCCAAATTCTTGGCAACTGGACTCTAACCTGAGAGACAAATGGATGCTGGCCATGTAAATGGACCCTTGCAGAGATTGCTACCGGGAAAGAAATCATGAATGTGGAGGAAGTCAGCACAACATCGACAGCCCACCTGGGCCTCGCAGCTTCTATCTTTCCATGTTTTTGTCTTCAGTTTCATTCAGTGTTCCACATGCACTTGCTGAACACCCCACAGAAGCCAGCTGCTCTTCTTGATGCTAAGGATCTAGAAATAAAATAAAAAGGCAAGGCACTGCTCTCTTGGACTTGACATCGGGGAAAAGGACATGAATGAATGAGGATTTTTAGATTCTAAGTGTCCTATCACTAAAACAAAGACTGTTAAGATTGGGACTTATATTAGTGAGTTTTCCCATAACTGGACACAACACCTGGCACTCACAACTGCCAGGAGGAAGGGTTTAGCTCTCTTGTGGGGGGATTCTGTCCACAGTCAGCTGGCTCCGAGGCAGGAACATCATCGTGAGGGTCAGGGCATAGCAAAACTGCTTAGTTCATGCAACCAGGGAGCAGAGCAGGGAAACAGGACCAGAAAGGAATGGGGCAAGGATCAGAGGTAGTATCTAAGGTCACACCTCCATGATCCACCCAGACACATCCAGAAGCGTGTTGTACTAATCTGCTAGGTGTTTCTTAATCCAGTAAAGTTGACCGGTTGTGATTTTCAGTCACAGGACAGCCTTACAGAGACTGTTAAGGTGGGCCTTTCTGCAGAGGGGTATTGGAGCTCCCTAGGAGCAGTGAGGAGCCAGCCTTGCACAGATCCTGGAAAAGGTGTCCTGGGCAGAGGAGAAGAAATGTGAAGTCCTGGGGAGATCAGGAGGGCCATGGGACGCAGCTGGAAAGGAGGGCAAGCAGGAAGCCCGGGGACGGTTCCTGCAAGTGAACGCCACGATGAGTCAGCCATCTGGCAAATTGCCCTGGACAGGGGTCTCTCCCCTGAGCCGGGGGACTGTAGGTCATTTCTCCAGGAAGAGAAACGCGGAGAGAGTTTAGTACCACGGAGGAAGCTCCAGGAGAGACGCTTACAGCGTACATCCACCAGGTGGCTCTGGGAGCAGACGTGCGCTCATCTCTCTCCTCCCATTGCTGACGTTTTTCCGGTTCTAAGGTACAAGCACTTTTTCCCACTGAACAAAGGCTTCTTTAGCAAACAACTACTTCAGTTTTGTTTTGTTTGTTTTGTTTCGTTCAGAAAGAGTCGATAGGGCAGCCCAAATAGCACACCTTGATGCAACCGGATGGCTGAGGAGCAATGTCTATTAGCCGGGAAGACCCTCCATCCTCCGTTCCCAGGCTCCCACTCTTCAAAGCCCTGCACTTAGGCCAACTGGTTTGATTGCCTTCCTTAACAGAGGGACCATCCCAGGGGAAGAGAAAGGCCAGTAGCCCAGGATATAGGCGAAATGCCAGCTCTCCGTGCAAGAGACTTGCCCAAGAAATGACTTTTTTTAATTTTAAAGAGACCAAAAAGCAAAAGGTAAAGGAAAAAACATTTTAAATGATATAGAATTTCAAACAAGATGATAGGAAATCAACAATGGTCGTTATATTGCATATTGTTATCTTCAAAGTAGTTGTTCAAATTACCAGTATAGGCATGCAAAAGTGGCCAATTAAGCATCACTGTTCCTTTCAATAAACCAATAGGAACTAGTAGTATAATTATCTTAGCTATCTTGTGTGTATATTTTTTATATTTATTTTTCCCTGCCTTCTTTCTTTTCTCCTTTCCCTCATCCCAGTTGTTCTTTCCTTGTGAGCCGTTTCTTTCCTTTTCACAATATCTATTGTACCTTTCAGTTTTATTTACTCTTTCAGCTTCTTACACTAGGGAGAAAATACGATGTTTATACATGCAGGTCTGATTTATTTCGCTTATGAGTATGGTCTCTGGTTGCCCAAGAAATGACATTTAAGCGTTTAAAAAAAAAAAAAAAAAAACTGGTGTGCAAAATAATGTGAGGTTAGGAGAGCAAGAGGGGCAGACAGTGTTTGCTATTTTCACCAAGATCTTTGCAACACTATGGATTGTTAAATAAAAGTGAGAATTGCCCCCACCTAGTACATTCTAGAGGCGTTGTTTGGTGTAAAAGAGGGAACTCCAGAGTTCAGTATGCAGCCAGTATGAAGAGGCAAAGGGCCGCAGGACTGCTCAGTTCATCAGCTGGGTCCATCAGTAAACTACAAGGCCCAGACTCCTTTGGGGCAAGCCCTCTGGGAGTCAAAAGAGAGAAAAATATTCCTTGTCTTTAAGACACTTACAATCTAATGTCGGCCTTAGGAATTCTTGCCCACCAGAATTCTTTCCCATCTGTTAGAATTAGCCTCACCCCTCTGCTGAGCTCCCCCAGTCCTTGATACATACCGTGCTACTGTCATGTCTGGACCTGTGTCTCTCACTAGATCCGGCTCCATCTAGTCCAGTCCTACGTATCATGCCCGTCTCTTTCCTTCTCACCTCCTCCACACACAGAGAACCTCCCATACAGCATGGCAGCTGGCCAGCCCTTCACAAACCTCGCTGAACTGTATTTCAGCAGGGAAGCAGGAAGCACAGCCGGGGAGCCCAGGGGACAGTGTGTATAGTGCAGAAAGTGTTGAGTGGCGTTGGGTCTGGACAGCATCTTCTTAGCGCAGGCAAGATCAGCACGCAATCTGCCTGCAGTAATGGGGTTTTGTGGTTTGGGTTTATCTTCTCCTCCTCCTAGGGGGTGGAATTTCAGAAGCTTAGAAATTTTTAGTTTGCCTTTGCCCTCCAACTTCCCCTATCTCCCTGCTAATAGGCCTGCAGTGTTCAAATGACTCAAACTAATGAGAAGGGATAGTGAAGGGACCTTAAATGTAAATCTGAGAGAGCAACATATTTGGGTATTATCTCCTTTTAAAAATGAGGAAATCAAAGTTTAGACTAGTGAAGTCACTTGCCTAATAGCACACAGGCTTTGGGCAGACTCCAAGAGCTTTGCATTAGGCAAACCCTGCCAGGTGACATGGAACCAGGGCAGTTCCCTAAAGTGGAGGCCTCATAGCAGCAGCATCTATTCTCTTCCAAATGCAGATTTCAGGGTTCCACGCATAACTATTTAAGTCACAAGCTCCAGGATGGAGAAGAATTTTTCATAAGCTCCCAGGCAGATTCTTACACCATGCTTGAGAAACACCAAGCTTGAGGGAAGAATCAAAAGTCTCTAGCTGTACAAGTGGCTAGTGAGGAACTCAAGGGGACCATGTGCCAACAATTCAAAGAACTTCAGAAAGCCGTCCCTGAATCAGAATGTTCCCTTCACGTTGGGCCATCAGAACTAAGACTTGGACCTCCTCTTGTGCTGATCTTTACACCAAGGCCAATGCCATGGCAGTTAGCAAAGTGTGTGGTTCAAGGATGCTGTTCTACTGTGTGTCACCATCTGTACAATCAAGTTTTGACAAAAGCTTAGGGAAGGGGAGAAGATAAATATGTGATATATGTAGGGGAGGGAGGGAGGGAGAGGGAGGCATTGTTAAATGTATGCAAAAAAATTTGTCTGACACATAACATATCATGTCTTACTTAGCTAATGTAAAATAATATTATTAAATATACATATATACCCTAAATATCACAATATATCATAAATTAGATGGATATTTATTTTATACTGCATATGTACTTAACAGTATTATTCCCAGTGCTCTGTTCTTCGCCTCCTCCTGACACAGATAGATGTGCACACATGTGCACACCCTCAGACATACACACACACACACACACACACACACACACACTTAAAGGATCTACATGTCGTGATTTAGTTCATTTTGACAACTCTCATCAGGACAACCTAAAGGTAAAGAAGTGACCCTGAAACATGAAACTGTAGGATGACTTTTTATCTGCCTTATAAAATAAAAATGAAACTCCAGGAAGGGTCCTTGTTTATTTGCTTTCGGCAATGAGAAGAGAGGCAAGTGGCGCCAGTCCATCATCTTTCCATGAAAGCCGTTGCCCCAACAGATCTGGAAGGATGAAGCATATCAGGCAGGATCTCTAAACACAGTCCATGAGCTTTGACTGCTGAGGGAATGTTCATCTTTCTGCTGCTTCATTGGCAGCCCGTGGTGTTCAGGTAGCCAGGCACCCCAAACAGGCCTGTAGGATGAGTTAAGAACCATCCCTGGCCAAACCTTTCTATAGCATTGCTCCCCCACCCCCATCTCTGCAAGCATGGCCCCTTTAAATGACTACCAGATGCCTGCATATTCAGTCAAAATCCCCTGGCCTGGAACTTAGAACTTTCCCACCTTAAACCTTCCTTCCTCTGGAAAATATTCCTGGATTCCCTCACACCAAAGAGCATCGCCATGATGCACTTCTGTAGCACTCTGAGCTTCCAGCCCTTCACACTCTGATCATTGCTTAATTGAACTTGATTTAAATATTTGTTTAATGTCACCACTGCAAGCCCTGCATTGGTGGGAATCAGGACTGTCCTGGCTTTGGGTATGGCCTCAGATATTTGTGACTTCCTGACTGACAAGTGACTCATTCTGGGCCCAACTTACCGTTTCCAGCTTTATCTCCTGATTCTCTTATGCATGCAACCAGCCAAGTCTACTGCTTCCTGTCATCCGTCTTTACCTTTCCATCTCTGTGACTTTGTCCACGTTCTTCCTTCATCTTAGATAATGGACATTATTTCCATCCCATGTGACCAGTTAGAAGCCAAAATATAGAAGAGAATTTTTGTTGAGATAAAAATTTCACATACCATAAAATTATATATATACATCAGGCAGGCATCACCATTATCTAATTCCAGAATATTTTCATCACCTCAACAACCACTAATTTATTTTTTTGTCTCAAGGGTTTGCCTATTCTAGATATTTAAGTGGAATTACACAATACATTGCTTGTTGTGACTTTTACTTGGCATAATGATTTCAAGGTTCATCCATATTATAGCATGTATCTGTACTTCATCCTTTATTATGGCTGAATAATATTCCATTGTATGACTGTTGAACATTTCATTTATTTGTTCATTGGTTAGTGGATGTTTGGATTGTTTCTGATTTTTTTACTATTATTAATGATGCTGCTAAAAATACTTATGTGAGCACATGGATTCAATTCTTTTGAGTATATACCTACAAGTAGAATTGCTGCATCATATGATAGCTCTATATTTAGCTTTATAAGGAACTGCCAAACTTTCTTCAAAGTGGTTGCGCCACTTTACAGTCCCACCTGCACTGTGTAAGTGTCCAATTTCTCTTCATTTCTTGCCAACACAGGTTATTAATGATGATAATGATAATAATTACCACTCTAGAAGGTGTGAAGTAGTATCATTGTGATTTTCATTTCCACTTCCCTGATAGCTAATGATGTTGAACAATTTTTCGTGTGTTTATTGTCCATTTGTATATTTCATTTTGAGAAATATTCATTCAGATCCTATGCTTACTTTTAATTGGGTTATTTGTCTTTCATTCTATATTGTGAGTTCTTTCCAACTTGAATACCAGACCTTTATCAGACATATGATTTGCAGATATTTCCTTCCATTCTATGGGTTATCTTTTCACTGTCCTGATAGTATCCCTGAAACACAAAAATTGAATTTGGATGAAGTGCAGTTTATTTTTCCATTGCTTTTGCCTGAGGCACCGTATCAAAGATATCATCACTTCACCGAAAGCATAAAGATTAACATTTAATGATGTTTTCTTCTGAGAGTTATATAGTTTCAGTTCTTACCTGTAGATGTCTGGCCAATTTTTGTATACAGGGTGAGACAGGGTGTCCATATTCATTATTTTGTATTTAGATTTCCAGTCATCTTAACCTCTTGGTGAAAAGACTATTTTCCCCCACTGAATTGTCTTGCAAGAAAAACATTTTTAAGACTGTCTTTATTCAACAGTCCAGCCATAATAAAGACAACAGCCCCTGTAGGCTGATGTCTGTCAGTCAGGAATGCAGAGACCAGCTAGAGTATTTTTATTGAGTACCCACTACATAAAAAGTCCAAGGGCACCACCTCAGCCCACTTCTTTCTATATGTAACAGTGATTTTCAACCTTGTTTAGGATAAATGAGCCAGTAAGACTGTAGACTTCTTAATACACATAATATTCTGCTTAGCATGTTAAAAAGCTCACCCAGACCAAGAAGCCCATTCACAGACACAAGGTTAACAGTTTATGCTTTTCCTTCTTTCACAAACTTATCCCCTGCCAGGTTCTATGCACTATTGCTCAATGCTGTTGACTCATTTCATGAGGTCTTTATGGTGTGTGTGGGTGTGTGTGTGTGTGTGTGTGTGTGTGTGTGTGTGTGTGTGTGTGTCCATGTGCTACTCTCTTCCTTGAGCTCCACACTTCCACTTAACTCAAGACATGTGCCCCTGGTCCCAGGCATCTCACCCGGCATGCAATCAACTCTTCATGTGCCCTCCCCCACCCAACTTCCCCTTTTCTGGTCGCAGCACTGCTCTTCCCATCGCTCGGGCTCAAATCTCAAAGTCATCTTCGCTTCTTCTTCCTCTCAACCCCCCGCCCCCATCCACTCAGATTTAGATCCTCGTTCCTTTATCCTAACCACCTGTCTGGGTCCTGCCTGATCCAAGCTCGCAGTCCGAGGCCTGGACAAATAAACACAATAACTGTCTCTGGCTCTTTGCACATTTCTTGCTGTTGGGCTCTTCGCTTTCTAACGTATTGGAATGCCGTGGAACGCCGGAGTTAAACGGTAAAGGAGCAGTTCTCAGCATTTCATGCTCTGTTTCAAGAAAGCTCAATGGCTTGTCAGCGTCCTGCAAATTCAATACAAGCCTGATCGGTCAAGACTCCAAAGCCCTCCATTCTTTGCCTCCAGACAACATCTGGCTTTCTCTGACAACCCCCAGAGGCTCTGCTCCAGCCCGTGTCCCCACTGGCCTTCGCTGTACTTCTGGGCCTCTCACCCTCACTGGCTACCCTGCTGTCATCCCTACCTAGCTGACCGACCAGCCTTCTAACCCTGCCCAGGAGCGTTCAGCACCCAGGCTGTCCCTCACGGCCCCACTGGAAGAGGAATAGCTCCTTCCTTTACTCATCTTCTGATTTACTTATTTTCATGTGATAGTTACTATTAATGTGTGTTTTTCATTCCTCTTAGCACATCACACAATGTCTTCAATAATATACTTCCGTGGTGGATGTGGGTCACATTCAGCACTGATTCTCATAAAGGAATATGAATCAGAATCATTTGGGGAACTTTTTCAAAATACCCTACATGGCACGCAGACCTCAATATTGTGAAAAATTTCCACTGATGATTCTCCTATATATCACTAATTAAGAACTACTTGTCAAATTCACAAATGATGGCTAAAATATGCTGAACATGTACTGTTCACCAGGCATTAGGAATATATTATGTCGCTGGATCCTCTTAGACACCCTATAAGTGGGTGGTTTTATTTTCCTATTCTTTGGATAAGAGCATTGAAATTTAAAGAAACTTACTTGCCTAAGATGGGCCATGTGTAGATAAACAAATTAGGTAAAATGAAGGTCTTTAAATGCCACTTACAAGCAATTTTATGAATTTAACCGTGATTTTTTTTTTTTTCAGGAATATCTACATGCCGATTTAGTCATTTTGAGCTGATTTCTTTTTCATATGCTTTTGGACCTTAGGAAAATTGCTTGCCCTCTCTGAGCTTTTGTTTCTCTAGAGTGGCTTAATACCTGTTATAAGTAATAGGAGGGAGTAAATGAGTTTAACACATGAAATATAAGGCACCTGCACATAGTAAATGTTCAATATGTTTGCTAGAAGTATTAATATAATTACTTTTTTTCCAAAATAGCTGCATCAATCCAAAGTGCTCATTCTTAGCTCTAGTTAACAATGGCAGACTGAGTGTCACAATAGCTTAAATAAGCCTCATACGTGACCCTGTCTCATTCTCCAGAATTAATAACACGTTTTTACTGAGGGACTTCTAGATGTCAGGGTCAGTCACCAGAATGGAAAGATACATAGAGATCCAGTCCCCACCCTCAAATAGCTTACAGTTTTGTCACTGAGACCAGGGCCACTCTACACAAGGGAGTTGGTCCACTTGGCTGGGAGGCCTGTGGGCTCTTGGGAAGCTGGCTGCCTCAGGGCTTCCCTGCCTTTGACCTAGGAGGGGCACTTTTCTGCTACTCCTCTCACAGAGAGCAAAGGCAGAAAGAGGAAGCTGTGGGGTTTGAGCACTGCCACCACTGCCTGGAATCTCACAGCTCTCCAACTTCCCTCTGGCAACAACTGAACATGGTGTCGTTCTGCTTCCCCTCCTTCCCAAATGTCCTGTGAGATGCGGAAAGGAGACGACTGCAAGTGATTATAATCTATGTTTTGCAGCGAGAACACAGACATGAAATATTTCAGCTATTGCAACCCACATAGGCTGCCAGGGCTCCTTTAACTCTTGGATTTGTCATGCACTTTTGGGTTTGCAGGAATCGTTCCCATATACCCTGTGAGGTAGGGAAGTGTTTCTGTCCATTTATAGATGAAGAAACAGCCTCAGAAAGTTCTTGTAACTTTTCCCAAAGCCACTTAATTAATGAGCTGCTTTGACACAGAACTTCCGAGGAGGATCTTCACAAGGGGTAAGTGGGGGTAGGGGTGGAGAAAGGTCACCTCTTGCCTTTCCCTGCTTTCCACTTCTTCCCTGGAATTTATACATTATACCTACAGTGCAAGCAGCCATGCTGTGACTTTGAACTCGGAAACAATGCAACTAGAATGGCAAAGCAAGAAAACAAAAGAAGCCTACACCACAAATGTCTTCTCACAAGACCAGACTGGCCCAGAACAGTCTACCTTTGCCTTTAATTTTTTAATTGTGCTTAAGATGCTATAGCTGAACTTCTGTTTCTAACACCTGTAAACACCTCATAGCTGCTATACGGGATTATCTACAATTGCATGAAACTGCTAACAATCACTCACATGGATACGATTTAGCAAATGATGTCCCATCATTCCGACTGTGTCCCTCTCCTTCCCTAAAGGGGACCTATATGATCCTCTTCTACATAAGCCACAAAAATAACAATGATAAAGAACATAGATACAAATCCCCAGGCCCATGATATACGTAATAGCGTATATGCTATAGTTGAAATCATGTAAAAATATCTATATATGAAGGAAAACACTAAAATCTAATATAAAAAATAAAGCAAACTTAAGTTGGCAGAATTAAGGCTTTCTACCCTATTTTCAAAATCATCTTTAGCATCATGGCCTCATCCTTCCAATTAAAGAACTTTTTAAATACAAGGCTCTTCAATTCATTCTCTTTGCTATTTAGTTGTTGCTAAACCTGTTCATTTTTGCACTGGGGAAATGCTGAGTACATAAGGTTATCTCTCTCCATGATGGTTAGTGTTTGAGTGCTAGGGGAGGTTACAATTTGTATTCACTTTCTTGAAACAAAAATGGAGAACCAAAACCATCTCCTTGAATCTGGTGCATTCCTAGGTTTCTCTCAAGAGGAACCCAGGCTCAGTGGGGGAATCTTTAGGTTTGTACAACCCAGGTGGCCTGATCACACCACAGAAGGGACCCTCTCTCCACCCACAGTTCTTCAACCTCTTCAACTGATAGCTTGCAAGAAATAAGATTTTCTTCAGTGTCTATACTTGAGTCCCATTTTTCACTTACCTTCACCATAGTCACTCACTGGGGACAATTCAAGGTTCTGTTAGTTCACTCTCTTGGCTAGGTGGCATTTGCAGTTTCCTAGGAGAACATGACATTTGACCCTTGCTTCCTGTCTGAATTCGTTCTTCTCCGAGCTCTGCTTCTCCCGGGGTTTACCCAGGGAGGAGGGGTTTGCTCTGCAGGATGTTGCAGGTGAGGGCTGCTTAGGGTGAAGTCCATTTGCAGAAACGCCATGCACACATGGGCCTGTGAGCAGGACAGGGGAGGGGGTACAGAGGGAAGGACAGTGAACACATGGAGTGCATCATGCCAGCCACATGCTGTCCTCAGCACTCCTCAGGGGTTCACAAACCACCTCTGATGCTAAACAGTTGGGTTTAACACAGGCCACTACTATGTGACCTTCAGAAGTGTCTTTGCCCCTCTGTCTCTGCCTTGGGTTCTTTGTCTATAAATGGGGGAATGAAAGCATTCCACCTATAGGGATATCATGAATTAGAGCACACTTCAACAGAGCTTTCTGTAAGAGACTAGTTCTGAAGGATCCCTGAAAAGGGAGACAGGAGCAATTAGGGAAACAAGCAGGATTCTGTGCTCCAGAGGGTGAGGCTTCTTGTACCTTATCCTTTCTGGTATATTTAAAATTCCCCATAGTAAATTAAATCCAAAGTCCTATATTACAGAGTGGAATTTTACATACCCGTTTTCCAGACTGATTTGAGCATATCACCCCTTGCTCCCAAACATTTACGAAAGCCCATCCCCCAGGAAGGGAGTAATCTGCCCCTCAGCAACTCCTCCCCTCACCCTAACCTGCAGAGCCACCAGGAGGGCTGGAGGACGCTCTCGTCCCACTGTGTCCTCTGCTCAATGCTTTGTGAGCATCTGGCGGAGTTTTCCTTTGGTAATTCCTACGTTGGTCCCACCATTAGACTCTAAGTTGATGAGTAATATTTAGGAGATGCCTTTCCACTTCTTAGTTTCTCTCATTGGTAAGTGATGTGGGCAAGTTAGTTAACCTGTCTGGGGTGAGCTTTGCTTTCTACCAGAGAAGGAGAACCAGGCATAAAATGAATGCTTGCAATACCCTCTCAACTGCTCAACCCCCAGTCACACACCCTTGAAAAATCAGAAGAATAATTAATAAACTGAACCGTAAGGTGTATTTACTCACAATTAGAAACTGGGGGACTGGGTAAGTCATTCTGCCACATGGCTCCATGTTTTCCCACTACCCTCTGGCTCTGAAATACGGTAGCCAAGAAGGTTTAGCTGAAAACCAGAATCTTGGACATCACTGCTGCTTGTGACATGGACCATGGCCTTAAGAGAGCGCAATTTCTACTTACCAAGGACAAAGTCTGTAGGAGGAAACAGTAGCATAATTAGCCAGGAAAGGTTGGACCACGTTGACCCTTCTGAAGCAAATGCCATGGATAAGTTAAAAGAGAAATCATCTTTTAAAAATTAAGGTTGCCAACGTTTTGTTTTGCCAAATAAAAATTAAAATATGGAAAAGTTACTATCCACCACCACATCTTGAAAAAGCAAGGGGACATTTTACCAACATAAAAATGAGAGACTTAATTTCAGGATAAAAGATGGCTCTTAAAACTGAGTAACTTTAGCGATGTGAAAAACCTCACACCCTGCCCTACTTTTCTCATTTCCTCATGCGTCAGTGGAAACCCTGTCCCACATTAGCCCCGGTCCAAGGAACAGGATTTGGGAATGACTACTTCAGCCATGAGTCCCCTTCTGGTTCATTTGTGTGACCTGGGACAAATCGCTCTATTTCTCTGAAGTCCAGCTGTCATCAATGGAACGGACAGTGTGTGCCTGGCTGGCCTCACTCACAGGTCTGGTCAGTGAGGCAAAGCCACACACAGCAATAGCTCTGGAACAGGAGAAGAGCTATACTCACCTCAGATGCTCAGGGCTGTGGTTCCTCCTTGGCTTATATTACTTGCTGATCCCCAAATTTTTAGGAATAGATGGTTTCACTATAATGTGTTCGTTTAGGAGAAGTAGCAAATGCCAAAAGCTCACAATTATTTCCTCCATAAAGACACTAACAAGACATGAAATGGGAATTTATTAGGGAAAATAGTAAGTTGAACCCACACTTAAGGATCACCATCCAGGACATGTCTAGTACAAATATTTGATTCAGTCCCTCTTTTGATTCTGAGAAAATTCCACCTAAATCAAATCATCATCTGGGGTTGTTCCCTGTCTTTACAGATTCTAAAAGAAGCTTGACAGCCCCCAACTGAGCATCCACAGAGCTGATAACAATGCTGAAGGCAGACCAAGGGGCTCAGAGAATGCTGGGTAAATGATTAAACCTAGGTTTTGAGCCCAAGAGAACATTTCTCAACTTATTGCCTATGTGTCTTCATCAATAAACAGAGAAAAGTACTAACCTACATCCTAGGGAAGTTACACATAACTTTGGAGGTTACAAATACTTTTTAAAAATGGGAATGCAAAATGGTACAGCAACTTTGGAAAAACAGCCTGGCAGCTCCTCAAAAAGTTAAACACAGACTTAAATAACTCAGCACTTGTACTCCTCGGCATATACCCAAAGGAACCGAAACCATATGTTCATGCAAAAACTTGTACACAAATGTTCATAGCAGAATTATATATGGCAGCAAAAATAGACACAATCCAAATGTCCAGCAACTGATGAATGGATAAACAAATGTATACCCATACAATGGAATATTATTTGGCAATGAAAAGGGGAAGTACTATTACTTGTTACAATGCAGATAAATATTGAAAACAATATGTGAAGTGAAAAAAGCCAGTCACAGCATATCAGACATTATAGGAAAAGTATGAAGAAACATCCAGAATAGATAAATTCACAGACCCAGAAAGTGGATTAGTGACCTCAAGACAGGAATAAGAAGACAGGGGTCAGAATGAACTGTTAGTGTATTTTCTTCCCACTGTGTGGAAACATTCTCAAATTAGATAGTGGTGATGGCTGTACAAACAAAATTAATTGAGTGAGTAAACTAAAAACCACTAACGTGTATACTTTAAAATGGTGAATTTTGTGTTAAGTGAGTTATATTTCAATATAAAAACTTTCAAGAATAAAAGGGCATAAGAAACAGGGAAGTTAGAGTTGACAAATGGAATTGTATGTTACTGAATCGGTCTTAAAAAATTAGTTCACAGTATGCTTCCTCTACTTGAGAAAGAGCCCTCCTCTGCCATAGCTACTTAAATATGCATTAGTAACTTTATTCCCTTCACAGCACCTGGTAGATAACAAGCACTCAATAAATGATAAGTGAATAAATAAGTAAATAAATATGAAAAGATCACATTCAATTTCCTAGTAAATAAGATTTTTCAAAATGCATCAAGCTTATAAAACAGCAGAAAAGCCTTTTGACTTCACTCCCAGAATCTTGAAGAATCAATGTAAATGGATGCACCTTGAGATCATCCCCATAAGAGAAATAAATTGGACACACATATTTAAATGTCATATTGTTTCTCTGGCATGAGAAGCCAAAAGAGTAAAGAAGAACCAAAATGTGTAAAAGATACCAGGAAATAGGAAGAAAGTGTTCAAATGGGAAAGAGAACAAAGGAGCGGGGAGCGGGAAAGAAAGGAAGGGAAAAGACAAAAGACTGGAAGGAAACAGTAGAAACAAAGCTTTTGTAAATAAGGAGGGGAAGTGGAGTTGAAGGGAGGGGAGAGGATCGGGGTCGAGGGAAGGGGAGAATCAAGTTATCTCACAGACAGGTACAAATTCCCTATGATGAACGACTATTGTGCATATCTAAAATGCACCAATGAAATTAATTTTTAAAAAGAACAAACCTTGTGTAGAGGACCAACTAAAAATGCAGTAAGCACTAGGATCCTTGACTAAGGGGTTCCCAAGTCTTTAGAATATGCTCAAAACATGAGAGCTTTATTCAGTGAATTATTTGAATCATGAATGCCCAAACTATGGACTTTTTTCAGTTATACTAACTAAAATCTTGAATTTTTAAAAGTACCCAAAATAAAATTAACTGAACATCTTTGAATGGTTAAAGTAAGTCTAGAGTCAAAAACATAATTTAGATAGAAAAAAGAATGGTACTGAGCAAATCATGAGCAAGACTAGAAACTCCAAAAGGATTTGGAATGATAGGATTGCAAGATTTGACCTGAGACTTACTCAACTCCAGTAAATGCTTCCAAAGACCCGGGGAACTAGGTCTAACCGATACAGATACCTAAGCAAGAACATGGTACCTCAGCACTTAGTCACCCATATAACCCAAATCCTAAGAACCAGAGACGTGAAACAACCAGCCCAAGAGCACCTTGCTGGTGAGCGTCAGAGTTGAGCCTAGAACTCAGACTTCCCGTTTTTTTGGTTTTGTGTTTTCTCACTACCTCTTTAATCATTTTTGCCAGAAGTCTATACATTATACTATTTTCAAGCCATATGGGAATACATGAAGAAAATGTTGGAATTTTAATGCTGCTAAGATGACCATAATGAGTTTCCTACAGATTCGCAAATTTCATAAATACCAGTAGATGAAGGGTTGGCCCAGGTTTAACAGCGGGAGCAAAAATTTCTGCTTGCCTACAGGCTCCTCACCTTGGCTTTGCCACTTGGAGCAATTTAAAAAGTTGCAATTCTTCTCATAAATTTAGCCACCCCCTTCAGGTGGGCCAACCTATCCTCAGACACAGCTCGGTGAATGCCAGTCATTCACTGAGCTGATGGGGGGTAGGGAAGAAGCCAGATTTAGCTTCAGGCTTTGCCAAAAACAAGTCATATAATTCATAGCAGAACTAAGGAAGGTATAATCTGCAAATTGGCTGTGTATTTATTTTTCTAAGACATAAGTGAACTGTTCTTGGGAGGTAACACCAGATGGCAAAGTGTGAGCTCTTTGGAGAGGGAAGAAAAGTTTCACAAACGGAAAGCGCAGAGAGGCAATGTGGAGGACAGCAGTTGGCTTTTGCCCTCCTAACATCCATTCTGCCTTCTTTTGATAAAAAAATGCCCCAGTCTCAGTCCAGGAAATCACAGCTGAACTGAAAATGTTTCACCCTCTCCCTCACCCACTCAAAAAGTGGTCATGTACCAGAGGCCTGATCCATCCCAGGAGTCCAGCCTCCACACTACTGTTGGTCCCGGGATGGCCACATGGGAAGCCAGGCCATGAAATTCTGCCCCCAGATGTCCCCTGACCATTTTGTAAGGAAAACTCCCCTGCCACCCAAGGTGCAGCTGAGAGCAGCCCTGGGGCTGCAGCACGGACACAAGGAGAGAGCCTGCTGTAAGGCTTCTGTAGGAGAGCAACACAGAAAAGACCAAGCCCTGGTGAGCAAGAGAAAGACAGGAACTAAAGACAGGAACTAAAGACAGGAACCCACACAGGCCCTGCGGGAGCCCGGTTCCTGCCTTCCCCAGAGCAGGAACTGGCACTGGGTGCTTCAGTTTCCTTAAGTTCAGTTTCTATCACTGACCACAGAGACGGTGCCACGCTGGGGTTATTCAGACTCTGACATTGCAGAAACTAAAGTCCCTCCTGGTTCAGCCACTTTCTAGTTATGAGATGTGAAGGAAGTTACACCATCTCCCTGAGTTGTTGTTTTCTCATCTGCAAAGTAAGGGCAAAAATATGTGTTCTTGGGGGCCAGAGAAGTAGTTTAGTGGCACAGTGCCTGCCTGGCAAGTGCGAGGTCATGAGTTCAATTCCCGTTACCAAAAACAAAAAACAAACAAACAAAGAAAATCTGCTCCTGGGAATGATGAGGAAATCATCTCTACAAAGACTTGCTATAGTTGCCACCGTATAGCTAGTACCCAACAAATAGGACCTACAACATTTTAATGAACAGACCGTAATGAAAGCAGCTCACATACCGGCTATCACAAGATGATAAGCGACTCTAGTACTACTCCATTTTTACTAAGTTTCACTAGCACATGAGCCTTTAAAAAGCTCATAAGAAGGAGGTATAGAAATAGACCTAATACTACGTTTATATTTTCTGGTGTTTTAATGAATTTGATGTAACATGAAAAATGTTTGTGATAATAAATTAAGAGAATGAATGCTACACTTATTTTTATACCTATATTTTGGTAACTATGTTCAGAACAAAACAAAGCAAAAATCTTTCTACCTGTGCAAGAAAAATCATGGGGAAAAACTGTAGTAAAATGAATGATTGACAGTGCATATTTCCTGAGATTTAAATTTTTTTTCTTCTACAGTAGACCCTTGAGTTACGACTGGCGTGACAAAAGAACAACTTGGGTTCAGACCAGAACTTTAATTTTAATTTATGACCAAAGTCTTGAGTTATGACCCAAATGCCAGCTGCTGTGCTTCCAGATGATCTCAGATACAGATTTAACCCATAAAGAGTTCTGGAAGGAACATTACAAATCCTTTCCTGTGTGGGGTTAATTGAGAAATCCTGGGCCAATGTCTCTCCAAGGACACTGAGACCTGCTGCATACAGGAGAGAGACTTTGGAGGCTGTGTAGAGGAGCCTGAGCCGTCAATGACAACTTGAGTTACACCCTGCCCTGGCGGATGAATTGAGTTCAGAAGTCAAGGGGCCCACTGTATTTTTCTAGATTCCCCAAGTGAATTTCAGTGATTATTTACTGTACTTTTGTGTTGTCTACACATTCCACAGCTACATCAAGTTTCTAGAGTTTGGTTTAAGAATTGGAGAACTTGGGAGGCTGCAGCAAGAGGAGCGTTGTGAGTTCAAGGCCAGCCTAGGCTACATAAGTGAATCCAAGACCAGTCTGTGCTGCATAGTGATACCCTGCCTCAAAAAGAAAAAAAAGAGAATAGGGGAACAATAAATTATTAGAGGTGAAAGAGGCAGTGGAGACTACTTTGCCCAACTCAGTCATACACAGGAAAAACACTAGTCCAAGATCAGACTTCCAGGCACCTCAGCATTGACATCATCACCCAACATTCCTACCAATTGAGAAAATCCCTGCAGGAGACACTGTTGACTGGACCATATCACCTAGGTCAATTCTAGCAATGATTCAGGGACCCAGGTAAATATCTCTTCTCTAGAGGCCCTTCTCTATAGCCAGGTGCGGTGCATGCCTGTAATCCCAGCACTTGGGAGGCTGAGGCAGGAGGATCATTGTGAGTGTGAGGCCAGCCTGGGCTACACAGTGAGTCCAAGGCTAGCCTGCACTGCAAAGCAAGACCCTATCTCAAAAAAAGATTAAAAAAAAAAAAAAGACCCTTCCTTGAGCAGCAATCTGAAGAACTCCTCCCAGCCTGCAATCCCCACAGCAGTAAGTTTGCCCTTGGTCCTCTAAGCATGCCTGCATGGTCTTTATTAAGCAGTAAATTCCTTGGAGGAATTGATATGGTATCTTTTCCCTGTCTGTTCCTCTAGCCCTGACTCCCTGCCATGACACATAGTAACCACTTGATACATGGTCTAGAAGACATCCTTTTGGTTGTAGCTCATCCAGTTGGCCTAGTTGGGGAATGGAAGTCAATTACAGACAGAAAAGCTCTCACTACATGGTCTTCCTGGGCACAAGGAAGATGAAACTTGCTAGTCCCATTGCATCTGGGAGGCTGTGAGACTAGTGTTAAAAGTGCTCACGTCACTTCCAAGCTGGGCAGGGAAAAGCCCTTGTGAGTCCTTCCATCATAGCTTCTTTGACATTAGAATCCCCGATGCCGCCTGCTGAGAAGAAAAAATCACAGAAGTCAGTGAAAATATGAGGTTAATTCAAAGTTAACATGAAAAAATTAAAAGGAATAAAATTGACTTGATTCTTCAAGGAGAAGCTGCATTTTGAAAAGCTAACAAGCGTTAAACATTGGAGATTTTTCAAACAAGGTCACAGAAGTATTTTTTGATTATTCTCTTTACCACTAACGATTCCCTAAGTGATTTTCCACCTTCAGTAAGTTTCACTATAAATATGTGTGCTATTATTTTAATAAGAACTGACACAAAAAGTATAACTGCCTGCAAGGAAAAGACACATTAGAATCATCAAGAACCTTTTTTTTCTTTGTAAAGTATTAGGAATTGAACTCAGGGCCTTATGCATGCTTGGCAAGTATTCTACCACTGAGCTTTTTGAGACAGGGTCTCACTAAATTACTGAGGCTGTCTGGAACTTGCAATCCTTCTGCCTCAGCCTTTCAAGTAGGTGGGATTACAGGCATGAGTCACAGTGCCCAGCTCTTTCCTGAATTTTTTCCTGGATCCACGTGTTGCGGGTGTGGTAGTGCATGAGTATAATCCCAGAACTTGGGCGGCTGAGGCAGGAGGACTACTGTGAGCTCAAGGCCAGCCTGGGCTACAGAGTGAGACCCTGCCTCAAAGAAACACAAAACAACCACAAAAAAATATTGGCTCACTTTATCTCAGTTATGTTCTCAAAATGTAGATTATTTCATAAATTCAAATAATGGTGAATTTAAAAATTATGCAACCGCTACTCACACCACGTCGCCTTTTCAGTGAAAATCTGGGTCGCTGGCGATGGATACAATTCCTTTTCTAGGTCATGTGAATCTGGGCCGTAGAAGACCAGGAGACATTTCTCACCCTTCATGTCAATGGGAATCTGAAAGGCTGAGAATTTCCATCATCAGACATTTCAGGCCACCTGGATTGTGAAAAGTTATCAACAAGGGGCGAGGCGCATGCTCCCAGAAGACAAGATTGCGTTATCTGCCATGAAGCACAACCGACAGGATTATCCACATCCAGTGTGAAATTTCTCAGGAAGCCTTTCGCCCACCAGTTTTCCTAGAAGACATCGTAATGTGCGTGCCCTTTTGCACACTGTCTTATCAGTTGTCCAGAGCTGGGTCTTTAGCATAGAATAAGGTCATAATCAAGTAGCCATTATTTTAAATCTTCTTTTACTGAACATGACTAAATGTCTTTTCAGCGGGAATTATGTCATTTCTAAAATAATCTTCATTTCAATATAAAGCTTTTCAGATGGCAAAGGCTGTAGACTCCAGGGTGTACTTGAAATCTGAAAAGCTCTGGACAGTTTTTAGAGCCAATCGTTGCATGCCCAGAAGAGCTACACGCAGAAACAGGCAGACCTGAGCTCCCTGCCCACACTGGCCATCAGCTGTGTGAACTCCGCAAGTCACTGCACCTCTCGTAGGCTCCCATGTCTTGACATATAAAACTGAGCTGCCGTAGCAGTCCTTACTGAGGGCTGCAAGATAAAGCACGCAGAGCACTTAGCAAAATGCCCATCACATAGTAATCATTTAATAAACATCCGCTCTGGTTAAATGATTCCTCCCTCTCCTTAGCTGACAGAACTCTGGGAAGAATCAGTGAAGGACAAATTCAGAAATTCTTGGAATTATTTCCAAACGGATACTAACCAGGGTCCCTGCGGGCTTTGGCCATTCTGAGAAGCAGCACTTGGTCCAAGTGGGTAAGCCAGGCACAAAGCCTGCTGATCTGGGCTCCAAGACCCATCCACAGGAATGGAGAACTATAACTGGCAGACTGATGCCTATTTTGTGTCTATATCCACTATGCCACCCAGAGGGACTCAGTTCTGTACAATACACTGCTCCAGATTGCAACCTCTTTTCCCTTCCAAAACATGCATAAAAATGAATCCATACGCGCATGTTAGGCAGCAGTTCCAAAAAGAATGGTAACATGAGATACCTTCAGACCAGGGGATAGGAGAAACTGTCTTGGATGGGGGTGGTCGGAGAAGCATTTGAAGAGGAAATGAGATTTGAAATAGGTTTTGAATGATGACTAGGAGCTAGATATGTGACTAAAGGAGAGTAATGCTCCAAGTTGAGCATAACAGGGCTGTAGAAGTAACAGTGAGCAAAGTGGGAGCCTAAGCAAGGCAAACAGCTGTGAGCACCCAGCAAACAGCTCATTGTGACGGTACAGAGAGGTCTAGGTTTGGGGCTGGGGAAATGGGTCAAATAAGAAAGGGGCCGCACAGGGTCATGGTTGTCTTTGCATGAACAGGACAGTGTCTCGCACTATGCAGTGATCAATAAACACCCACGGGGCTGGGGATTTAGCTCAGCAGCACTACGCCTGCCTGGCAAGCTCGAGGTCATGAGTTCGATTCCCAGTACTGGAAAAAAAAACAAAAACAAAAAAAAAAAAAGAAAGAAATTAAATTAAAAAAAATAAACACCCACGAGTGAATCAGAATCCATAAACAAAGCAAAGCGGGATCTTTGATGATTTTGCTGGCTGGCAGTGTTGGAGAGCAGGGCCAAGAGCTGTAGCCGAGTGTGTGTGTGTGTGTGTGTGTGTGTGTGTGTGTGTGTCGGGGGGCAATTGCAATAGTCTGAGCCTTAGAGGATAGCGAGCTAAACTGGAAGACTGTGGGGCCGACATTGGTGACCATGAGGAGTGCAGTGAAAGAACCTCAGAGAACTTAGAGATGGGCTGCGGAAGGGAAGGAAGGCAGATTCCAGGGAGGCCTAAGTTTGGGGGCTGGGTGGCTAGCGGACTGAGGCAGCAATGAAGACAGCATCCTAAGGCACACGCGTGGGTGTGGGGAGGGGCAGATACCACAGGTCCAGTTCTGAACTGGAAGTAATGGGCTGGCAGCCACCTGCATCTGTCCCATCCTCTGATGGAAGTAAGCATTTAGGACCAAAGCTACAGATACGGGACCTGGGAGACAGCGTGACTACCGGTCCCAGAACTTTTTGCACTAAACTGCTACCCCCTAGACAGTATCCTACGATTATGTCCAATGCTGCATCCTGGAAAACATTGCTACAACATGTGCAGACCCCGTCTTCAGGACTGGTGTCAAGTCCCAAGCACAACTGCATCTGAATCATTCGGGGTGCAGCCTGGGAGTCTGCACCTCTGATTTGCTCTTCCAGTCATTCGGGTGCTCACGGGAATTTAAGGAGTGCTGGGGTGGGACAAAGACAGCCTCAGCCTCCGATATACAACCCCCAGCCCACTCCCACAGAAGTCCTTTAACACCAAGGTAATGGGTCAAATGTCAGAACTCTGGAGCAGGAGGCCAGGGTTCAAATTCCAGCACTTCCTAGTGCTTGTGCTTGGGTGAGTCATTTAATTTCAAAATACTTAATCTCTAATACTCTCCAATCTTAAATAGAAAAATAATAATGGAACTATCACAGGGGATTCCTCCGAGGGTTCTTTGCATCAGCATATGTATGGAACAGCGCTTCCAGTGTTGGCACTATGGGCAATTCGGTCAGATAATTTTTCAGTTGTGGAACGCTATTCTATGCACAGTAGGATATTTAGCATCGCCCATGGTCTCTACGCATTAAGTGCCAGTAGCACTCCCCTCCCAGTCATGAGAATCTAAAAATGCTCCCTGTCCTATGGGGAGCAAAGTCACCCAACATGAGAACCACTGCTGGAAGCAGTGCTGAACATACTCCATTCATTGGCTCGTGATTTCTCCCAAAAACCCAGTGAGATAGGTATTCTTATCTTCCTCCTTATGGATAAACAAACTCAGGTTCAGGGTGGTAAATATCTTGCCTAAAATCACTCAGCTAGCACACGGTGGAAAGGAACTCCAATCGCTTCCCGGCCTTTTGGCTAAGATCAAGTGGAAAAGAGCTCCAATTAAGTCACCTTGGGTGTGGTGGCCCCTATAAACCCAGCACTCTGAGAGGCTGAGACAGGAAGATCACAAGCTCAGACCAGCCTGGACAACCTAACAACTTAGCAAGATCCTGTTTCAAAATTTAAAAAAAAAAGAGCTGGGGCTGTGGCTCAGTGTGAAGGCCCTGGTTCAATCTCCAGTACAAAAACACAAACAATGACTGATCCTCAGAGCGGAGCTCCTTCTCTTTCTACTCTGGCACAGCGCCAAATAATCACACTGTCACCAAGTGACTGTCAGAGACACTGCCTTTTTCACATCTTTCTCCATGAACAAGAAGCTGCAGCCCCCAACACCCACATAGACTAGAATCATGGGCAGGGGTCTTTCTCCTACCTTACTTCTCAAAAGCCTATGGACTCCCCCTTACGTCCTGAGATAACCTGCAACTTACAGGACTAATTCCTTCCTCCCATCTCATGGTCTGGGTTGGGGCCCTCATCTTAATGTCCACCTGTCATGAGTGGATTACCCCAAATGGTCCTGTCTCCTTGTGAGCATCCGCTCCTCACACTGGATACTCTCACATCTGTGTTTCCACAACACACCACTGGCTGGCACACAAAGGCATGCTGTAGGTGAACTGCCTGAGTGAATGATCTTCCTGAACATCAGACTCGGAGATGTGTGTCTCGGGTCGGGGTCAGATTCCAGTCCTACGGGGTTGTGAACGTCACCACCAGCTTCCAGGTTCTCTCAGCTGACAGCAGGGGGAAGAAGACGATGATGCCTGGAGTCCTCCAAGCAGGCACTTACTCGAACCAAGATTATTTAAAGAATGCCTTGCTAGGCCTATAGTGAAGCTTCACAGAGCAGCCTGAATGAGTAAATTCCCAGCAACATCTGCCCCTTCTAGTTAACTACATGTCCACCTATTTCATCAGTTATGAGTTAAGAACTTTGACTTTTGTATCAGGCAGACATGGGTTCAAATCTCAAAGACAGAGATGAGATAAAATGCACATAAGAAGTCCATAGTGGTTGTTAGTCACTACTTGGACCACTAAGTTTATTACTTTAATCAGAACATGCTACGTGTGCATGTCACAAGATGCAAAGATAAATTACAGCGGCAGTGAGACTACAGAGACCCTGCCCTCTCCCTGGGGAGAAGCCAGGAGAACTCAGATCCGAGGTTCATACAGAACCCAGATGCCCAGCTGTAGAAAAGTGTAGCAGGCGGTCAGATATTTCCCGCCACAAGGCTGAGAACCCATTTTCAACATGATCTGGGGCCCGGTCCCCAGCGTGTTTCCTTCCACCCCAAGCGTGACTCCACAGGACACTGCCTGGAGCCCAACAGGTACTTAGTGAATCCTTCTTTTGAGCTCCAGTCTCCTAAAAACTCAAGCACTAAGTGTCACGCAGAGTGCATCTCCGCAGAAGGCGGGAAATAGAAACTTTCGAAAGGTAAGCTCACATTTAACTGCACATCTGTCTCATTTCATAATTTTACCTTTTATAACCTGCATTTCCGAGGTAGCTGGAATGATGAAAGTGCCATGTGACTTGGTCAAGAAAGTCCTAAGGAGAAGATTCTTGAGTGAATCTAATCAATTTCCAAAGAATACACACAGCTTT